GATAGATAGATAGATAGATAGATAGATAGATAGATAGATAGATAGATAGATAGATAGATAGATAGATAGATAGATAGATAGATAGATAGATAGATAGATAGGGGAAATTAGTGTTTTTCTGTTGTTTTTTTTAGATTCACGCTTACGTTTACATCCATAAATACTACCATATATTTTTTCAACCTTCCAATTCTTTTTGGTAGGTGTGGTGCGTGTGGGTGCCCCCACAGCTCCGGAGGTCACCCTGCGTCTCAACCTGACGGTGAAGGCCAGCAGCTGTGTGGAGCCTGGTAGCAGCTTCAGTGACCCTCAGTGCTCCGGGAAGGGTAAATGCATCACACAGCCATCCGAGGTGAGGATTCCAAAAAACAAAAACAGAGAGTATTTATTTTCCAACAGCAAGCTCAGAATAAGTTAAAAGAATTAAGACAATAGTGTTACTTTTATGCTTTTTGTTTTATATTACATTTAAAAGAGAATATATGAATGAGGAGCTTCATATGAAAAAAGTGAGTATGAAAAGCAGGGACCATCATGCAGAAGTTAAAGGGAAAAAAAACTGAGATACAATTTGACTTGTATTTGTATGTTACTGGGTTGTATAATTGTATGCATTGGAAGACTATTCCAAAGTTTGGGAGCAGAAACCAAAGTTGCTGGAGTGTCTTTGGATTAAAGATTTTCTCCCTGTATGTGACTGTGGATACTTTTCCTGTGGAAGCATTTCCCGGGTGGTGTTTTTGTTACCAGCCTCTGAGACATTCCTATTCATAAATCACAGAGATTCTTTCTTAATAAAACATTTATTTCCTCACCAGTCAGTATTGGCCTTTGTAGGATCGAGCCTCTCAGGGTACCAAACTAACTCAAAAAGATAGTGGAGTCTATCTGGATAGAGTGGGATGAGGCCCTCACCAGACCTGGACAAATTTACACTCTAGTTGCACAGCTAATTACCCTCAAGTTTCATCTTCGACAGCACAATTAACCAGAGAACCATTTGTTCCACCTTCTACCCAGCCACCAAAGCCCTCATCACCCCCTTACATCCAAATACTGAAGCCTTTTTCTGTGACCAAAATAAGTTATCAAGGTTCCCTCTACAGTGTTCAGTAATGTTTTAATAGACGGATGATGTTTTTACAGACCAGTCGAAGATTTTTCATAAAATATAAGCAGACCTCTGGCTTTGTAGCATTTCAGTTGCAGTCATCAGTCACCTCTTTTTCCAGAAGAGTTAATGAGGTTTTTGTACATGGAAGCCATGGGGAGGAGGAAGCCAAACAACTATCAAACCCACAAAAGGGAGCAGGGTATACAGAAGAACTCTGTGGATTTAAGAACTCTGACAAAAGAGTCTGAATAGAAAGACATTGCACGACAAGCATTTTTTAAAAATGAGTCACTGAAGTAAATTAGTAAGATTGCATTCAGTGTCCTTGCATTGATAAATGTGGGTAAAAAATGAAAGAAGAGACAAAAACTCTTACCACTGCTCAACTTTGTTTTTGACATTCTCAGAGGGGTCCATATTTTCCCCATCTTGGGCCACTTACCATCTGGTCCATTTCTGTGAAGGTGATAAGTGGGAAAGTGGTTTCAGCCCTCCATTTCTGCACCCGCCGTTTACCCAGCACTCATTGAAAACATCTTCAGGGACGTTTTGGGGCGTTTTGCTTGTTTACCTCTGTGAAATCCTTACTTAATCTTAATCTCTTGCAGTCAATAAGAACACAGGTTCTTCAGCCACCCTGAGAAAACAGGCTCTTTGTTTATGTCTGCTCACCTCAGGGAAATTAATTTATCTCTCAAACAAAATATCAGTTATTGCAAACCTTTTAGATGTTGCATTCTTTACAAAAGCCCTCCTCTTTTGATCAACTGGCATCTCTGCTCCCAGAAACTTGAGCCATCTTCCCAGAAAAAGGCCTGCCAACATCTTTTCCTAACTTGTCTCTCTCAGATTCTGTTACTTTACCTTCATAATATTTTTTGTCAACCAAGAGAATCTGACTTTCATTAGGCTCAGATTTAGATACAGAAGTAATGACTGAAGTAAGTTTTTATGTTTGAATCGAAAAATAATCTCAAATGCATGTGATAGCACATCTGAAGAGAAAATAAATCCTCAGAATTTTTAAATGAAATGCAAACTCATGACCAAAACATGACTAAACAGAATACAGGTAATAAGAAATTCACAGGTTCTGAAACACATTTAACTATCAAATAGAAAGAAATGCGTTTTTGTTAAAATAAAGATGTTTTCAAATTTTCAGTTCTATTTTTGTGTTTGCTTAAATTCTTCTCTGCTGGAGTGACACAGAAAATGAAAGCATAACTTGCTGAAACACAATTTGATTTAAATTCCTTTGATAAAAATTTTTAACCATCATCTGCTGCTCATTCAGGAATGCTTTTTCTTTGCAGAAATACAATGAAAAAAAAAATCACTGCAGTAGATCATGGAAACACTGGAACTCTGCTGGTTATTCTAATTCCTCATAGATGAGACACATACATATTAATGAAAAATAAACATTTCTTGTCAACATACTTTTCCCATCCAAGAAGTTTTTCTTCTTTTCATTTCCGTCCTTGTATGACTCTTTCATTTGTAAAACATGTAAAATTGTCCCCTGCAGAGCACTTTCTTCTGCGAGTGTGAGGACGGGTACACTGGAATTTTCTGTGAGGAATTTGACGCCTGCCACCACCGACCCTGTCGCAATAATGGCACCTGCTCTGACATCAGGCAAGGCGGCGAAGGACACAACTTCACCTGCAACTGCCAACCAGGTGTGTTTGAACGGACTTTGCCGTTTAGCGACGGTGTCTATTTTTGGTTTTATTTAAAAGACTCCCTGAAGTCCGACTGCGCGCTCTCTGATGGCTCCATTCGGTTTGAAAGATGTTTGACTCCTCCTTTTACTTTAGAAAATGTCTGAAAAAGACCAGAGGATAAGAGAGCATATTGGAGCTTTGATCTTGACAGCTTTATTTTGGGACAGGGACTAAAAACAGCCCTCTGGTGGGCCAGCAAATGTCAGAAGTGACCACTGATGGCTGGTCACTTTTCATTGAGCAAACAAGCCCTTCACGATATGCTCTGAGGCTCAGATTTTCACATTTGTAGATAGTTTATTTATGTAAATTTGTATTTGATAAACATAATGCAGACAAAAATGAACAGCTTTTACGATATCAAGCAATTTCCATAATTTTTCCACAATAATTCACATCTTTACAACGGCAAAACAAAAGAGACTAACCATACAGTGGCAGAGCATATGGCTGCTAGCCAGGACGGGGATTGGCTCAGTTTGGGGTTTAAACACATCCGTCAGCCTGATGATAAAGCATGTGTTTGCCAGGTTATGAAGGGGAGCGCTGCCAGTTGCTGGTGAACCACTGCCTCTCCCAGCCCTGCAAGAATGGAGCCACCTGTTTCAGCAGCCTGGCCGGGCCCAGGTGCTACTGTCCCGAAGGTAGGAAGCCCGCTATTTTGGAAACGATGGTTGGCGTGTCTGTCTGCTGTGAATGAAGCAGGAGGCACGGCTGAAGCTGCCAGAAACGTGCAATTTACCCTGAACTCACCAGACACCCTTCTAAAACCCTTGATGCTTGTGTGTTTTCATAAAGGAACCAAGATAAACACCCAAATATGCATTTCTGAACCATTAAACTGGGTGTATTTTGGACTGGGTCTGCTGCTTGTTCAACAGTATCTGTGCCACCAAGGCGCTTATTTTAAACCATCCTCCTCCACTCTAATTAGCCTTCATAGACTGAGCGACCCGCATTCGTTTCTCTGGGGAAATCTGTGACCGCGAAACTTCTGCATCTCTCAAAAAAGAGCACACTGGTGTGCAATTAGTATAAACGACGCGCACAGACTATGCATGTGTGACCAAAATGCAGGGAGATCGTCGGGAACAGAGCATATGGACACGCTAATGAAAATGAGTGGGAATCGGGGACTGGCGGGGGGCAAATTGTTTCCATGTTCCAGTCGAATTCCCGGCAGTCACGTCATGGTTGGGGAGGCTCTGCTGATGCTGCAACACCTGGTTGCATCTTGATCTATAGCTACCAAAAATAAAGCTCCAATGTGAACATAAATTCTTCATCCACCCCATTTGAATTTATCCACTTAAAATGAGACAAAATATGAAGGCAGATAATGTTGTTAAAGCATAAAATACTTATTTATCTGTTTATGTTTGAGTTGCAGGTTATTTAAGAGAAACAAATGACAAACCTTGTGTTTACATAACCCATTTTAGGTCTTGTTTGATTTATGACCAAGTCTATTTGGTCTATTTAAATGGCAAATCCATCTGAAAAGGCTTTGAAATTAAAGGAATTGTTCTGGAACAAGCTACCAATCAATAGATCAGTAGCTAGAATACTGATCACACTCTTTAGAAAAGAGACCACATGTCTCACAACACATGTGATCAATGACTCAACTGTTTCTGTTGCTCATAAACAATGCAATTATAGCTTGTCTGTTTGTGGCTATTGTTAGCGCAAGACTCCAGGGAATTTGTGAAACTCATTTAAATCTCCCTGTGAGTTTGCCTATTACACGCAAATCTGCATCAACAAACCCACAAATGGGCAAAAAATTGTACTAAGCGATGTATTATACAAATAATGTCAACAGCAGGCAAGATTATTTGTAGTAAGATCATATATATCAGCATAAAGTTCAAGAATCATTTTGAAATAATTTGTGTGGAACCTTTCCATAAACAGAGGGAGAGAGAGAGAGCGGAGAGTGGAGATCGAAACAAAGAGAATAAGAACTATGAAAAAGATATGCATTTCTTTATTCGTGGAGCAGGGGTCAGTTCTTCTTTGGGGGTTTTATTTTGCCCCCATCTTATAAATAAGTTTTCAAAATATTGTTCTGGTTTTTCTGCAAAAATATAAAGCAAAGTGCCATGACAACTCCTCCACAGTTGCCATCTGAAATGCATCAGCTCTGTGATGATTTTGCCAACCTTGACAGCATGAGCTGGTACCTTTATTTTTTTCTAGTTTTGCATCAGTGAATTTAGCCTGAAGGCGTTGTAACATTTTTATTCCAGCCTGTCAGCTGCATTCTGCTGTCTGCTTTCTCCAAAAACAACAAGATTTCCATAAAGGTAGATTTTAAATAAACAATACACATTAAATAATCTGCCACCATTTTAACTAACAAAGCAAGAATCCCTCCTGTACCAGCATGTGAGGCCAGCTCTATGAATAACCATTCTCAAAATAGCTTACAACTGTGTCTACACAGAGGTTCATTGTTCATTGTTTTAAAAGCCTCTCACAAAATAATCCAATTGATGAAAAATGCAGACACAAGGTTTCTGTCTGCGTTAAGAGAGTACAAAGTTAGCTCATTTTAGCTTACAGCTCAAGGAAGATTAAATAGCCAAGATGAAACACATTGGCAGGACTGATATTTGAGGGGGGGTGGCAGAATTACAAATCTTTTTGCTTCTTCAGCACCACGGACAGCACCAAACTAAACACAAGTCTCCGTCCCGGAGAGTCTCAACTAAAAGAAGTGTGTTGTTGTCGCATTGCTGTCACTTTTAATATTGCAACCTCTAAACTATGCGCAACACTGTTGTTACGGGAAATCTATACGACATGTCACCTTTTTTTTCCAGAACTACAGTAACACATTTTGAAACACTTTGTTTTTGTAACACAGTGTTTTAAGAGTTTTTTAAAAGGCTGATTTGTACAAGAAATATCAACATCTTGTAGAGGGCAGCTAGAGACTTGATGGGCCTCACGTAAAGGATATGAAAAAAACTGTCAAATTAGTATATAAAAGTACAGTGAAACTGACCAACTTTTGCTCTACATTCATATCACTGCTGATGTGAGAGATTCTCACCTAATTCTCATTAATTCAAGCTCATTTAAACAGAGCAAAAAAGGTTAAAGGGAGAACAAAAAGTTTCAAATACGTCAGGTCAAATCCGGATCCAGCCCAAGTGCAGCACCTGTTCTCCCATCAGAACACAACGCGCCACACCACTGACTAATGTATGCACAAATAATTCAGATGATACAAATGTCTGTGGTCAGAGCCATATGTGCCCTCCACATGTCTTTCAGTTTTTTTCCCTCAGTCCTTCAGGTCAAAATGAGGAGGAGAAGAACTTGTACCGACTTACTGTATATGAGTGTCATTAAGTAGAGATTTCCACATCTATTAACTTTTCCAAACTTACAAAAGAGGGTGAAGAAGGCTGGAGGTCTGTAGCTGCCTCCAGTCAGAGGTAGAAAGACAGACAGAGTAAGATGGCTAAATTTAAAATGTTAGCCTCTCCATGGGCTGAATGCTAGCAGCGGTATCTGTCTGTGTTGCTTTCTATGTGATGTACGTTGTAGGTCTGAAAATCTAAAAATATAAAAGGCTGAGAAAGCAGTTGAGCCCAAGCTTTGTAGCAGTGCACGGAAGCAAAGAAAAGAAAAAAAGAAAGCAGGGAAATATTCCACAGAAGAACAAATACAAGTCATAAATCAAATGTATGCATGTGTTAACTTCTGTGGATTTGCACAGAAAGGTGGGGAGGAGGATAGAGACAAAATGTGACAGTGAACAAAAAAGAGGAGAGGAAGAGCTGTGATGAGCTTCTCCAGACTGCTGCACATTGCTCCCGTCCTCGGGCTAAATGATAAACGGGCTCCTCACAGAGTGAAATACAGTCTTGCAGATCAATGGCTGCCACAGTGAGATCTCTTCATTAGTTCAATGAAGTGTGCTCTCTTTGGTGGAGTCGGCACGGGGATTTAGTGCTGTGTTACGGTAAATCAGACCGCACGCATGCACTGAACCCCAGCCAGGTATGTGCACACAAAGAGGAGACTTTCTCCCCTCTGCAGCACAATGGCGGCTCTCACAGGAGGTGAGGACAGAAGTAGCAGAAGGGGTGAAGAAAGGGGGTTATTTTTAGAAGCAGAGGAGGGGTGACAGTGGCTCAGACTCACAAGATAATGAAAGGAGGAGAAGAAGAAGAAGAAAAGGGTGGCGTCATCACACAATGCCCAGGAACGAAGAAAAGTGAGTGTAAACCAAGTAATATAACCTGTCACCTAAAGACTTAACAACTGGAAATTATTAACCTCATTCACAACGAAATTAAACTTGGAAAGAAATAAACTGTACAAGTGATTCACTCTGCATTTTTTTAATGCGATTTTTAGACGCCTAACTCAATTTTTAAAACGCAAAAACAACAAAACAACAGATGAAACCAAAAGGGAGATTTCAAGACCAAGTGATGTGGAACATCACTTTAACTCTGGACCCCCCCCTGTACATTCGTGTGCGTGAGGGGTCTGTCAAACCTTCAAATGTTTGAAATCGGTCGCCTGTTAAATGTGAAAAGGTGTTGTCATGTTCGGTGAATATGGTGCAAACACAATCGGTATCTCTACACAGGAGTCAGTCACAAATTGATCCAATTCATAGTCAATGCTTCTATTATAACGGAAACAAATTGAGCAATACCTTTCCAATTGATGTGGATCAATCTGCGTTGTTATCCCCACAATTGACAACATGCATGTTCACTTAACTGCTTAGTATGAATCCACAGTAAGCAACACGTGTGTCTGGTGGATGCATTTCTGTGACAGAGCACAAAGGCACAGCTTTGTCCACAGGATGGACAGAATTGGAAGGTGCACTGCTTTTTATTGAATAACTTGTCAGTATCGAAAGGTTCGAAAAACCTTTTTTTTTTCACCACAAAAATCGTATTATTTAAGTGTGAAAGGTGAGCTGTGCATTGACCTTTTATTTTCCTCTTTGTCCTTTCCTAACACGGCATGATCTCACAGGTTACCAAGGTGCTACGTGTGAGCAGAAGGTGGACCCGTGTGCCTCCAGCCCCTGTCACAACAACGGCAGCTGCTTCGCCCAGGGCCCCGGGCCCCTGGGCTTCGGCTGCAGCTGCCCGGCGGGCTTCACGGGGCCCACCTGTGCCCAGCTGGTGGACTTCTGCGCCCTGAACCCCTGCGCCCACGGGGTGTGTCGCAGCGTGGGAAACAGCTACAGATGTCTGTGCGTCCCAGGTGAGCTGCCGCGTTCAGAAACCCAGGAAAAAGCTTGGGAAGCCGATCACCTCAAATGATATGCAACAAAGGCTTTGAAAAATATCTTGTTTTCTGCTAATTTAAAGCTGATATAGATACATTAATCAAACACACTCCTGTCATGGATCCTCACTGTTCGCGGTTGGCTTTTGGAATCTGTAGATGTCCATCAGAACTTGGGCAAATAATTATTATTTCTCTTTATAAATGTAGATTTTTTGAGAAGAGTAATGGTAGGAGGAGGGTAGGCTGCAGCACTGTTTTGGATTCAGAGGCAGTAAATATGTCATGCTCAGTTATTCTGAGATAGGATGATGGAGCCGCTGGTGCTGCTGATCAAATCAATTGGGCGGAATGATGGCTTATCATTATCCGCTGCCTTGCAATTACCTAGCTGGGTTGGTGGATGAATGACTTTTCCAGTGGCCCATCAACATAATTTGACACTTTGCTCCTCCTGGCCTTTTTTTTTTACGAGCTGTCAGCAGACTGATGCCAGTCACCATCTTTGGATGGCATTTGACTGACTTGAATTTGTCCTCCGTCGTCATATGTGCAATTGTTTTTCTGTTTTGTAACATGGAATAGAAATGTTGTCCTTGAATGACACGCCTTGGTTGTAAAATCATCATCCTATATTAGCGAGTCTCTGCAGGACACAGATAAACTCTCAGTTCTCTCACTAATTTGCAAACATGCCTTAGTTGTAATGTTTTGCTTGGCCAACAATTAAGGATTTGAAAATGATAAGATATAAGACATAAAAGGAATTCTATTCCTTTATTGCTCATTATTCAAATACAACATGGGGTTGCACAGTTATTGTGATCCTTCACGCTGTCCTCACCACATCCATCTTCATAGACTTTGTAGCTTGTCCTTTTACCCTTCCTCGTCTTGACCTCCCTTCTGTTTACCTCAACTCATTTCCCTCTCATCCTCTGTTGTGTTGTCGCCATGGTGAAGCGGTCGGCTCACATGCATGCTGCTCGAGCAGATGCTGCTGTTCAATCTAATGCCTCTTCTCAGGAGGCCCTCCTCTGAAGACATCGGTGAAATGGATGTTTTGTCATTAGCATTCCAGCCAGAAAAAAGAACTGCTAAGTCACAGCACAAGGCAAAAAAGTTTCTCCCTCTCGTCCAGTGGTCAGTTTATATGTGGCGTGTGTGAATGAGCAACAGTTGTTTGTGTGTTGGCTTCCCCTTGTGTGGGGTTGCGGTGAGGCCTGCTGGGTGTTTGAAGACAAGCTCCAGGGGCACTAATACCTCCAAGGAGCTGTCCTCAAGATTCCTGTAATCCAGCTCACAGGAGAGGCTGCCAGCGCACCAGTGAGCCCACAGACGGAGTCCTGGAAAAGCACTTGACATTTAACTGGCATTTCACACAGAAAACTCCAGAGGCTCTAACTGGGCTCCTCATTAAATTCTTCTCTCTTCTTCCTAAAACACACATTCGCTGTGGTCCTATGGGAGTTTGTTGAAACATCAGTCAGCAACGGAGCCCAGCTGAGAAATGAAAATGATGCATAATTGGTTCACTATTCTTATAGGAACTCAAGAGACATTTTTCCTCTGGCAATTTGTGGTTATGACACTTGAAGAAAACGCAGTGGATAACAAAAGGGAATGCACGCAGATTTGTACAGGCGCACTAAATGTTAGATCAGTGTTTTATCTGCCTCACTGCTGACAATTTAAAAACACTTTGAGGCAAATTAGCCACAAGAGATAATTGAAACACATTTCAATAAAAAAGTATTGGAGAGTAGAACACAACGTCTCAGTTTTATTAAAGATTATACTGATCTGCAACAGATGTGGACCTATCTCCTCCCATGCTGCCCCTCGACATGACACTTGACTTAATCTTGTTCATATGAATTCTAAATGGATGCACAAAGTGGTACACACCCCACACCAAACTTGGCCTTGTTCTTTTCATCCCGTGGAGTTGATATGGAGGCACTGGTTGTCTGTTATTCTTACCATGGTTTATTGTAGCTGCTGGAGGCCCCTAGTGCCTCAGTGCACAGCTGCCATCCTATGGAAAACACGGATCATTGCATGTACTGTAGATTGACTGCACTAAATTGTGCCAACTTTCACTGACACACTGGAAAAGTTCTTTGTTTGTTTGCCGATTTTATAAAGTCGCCAAAGATTCCATGGTGTACAGGCCACAGCAGACTCACGAAACACATAAAGGGTGTTTTCTTCCCTCTCTGCTAATGTCTCAGGGGCTCCGAGAGAGATATGACAGCTGAAAGCTGTTATCGTAATGCTATGTTTCTTAATGTCTCTCAGATGCACCGTAAAAACCTATATCTAGTAAGATTAAATCTTTAAATCAAGTGCATGCTTTTTATGTTTTGACAAGATACATAGTTTTTTTCCCAGGATGTTTCCACATCAGGGGTTTTGCTTACATCAAGCACTGTAGCCGTTTATCATCTTTATAGAAAGAAAAATTGAAAACACCTTTTGAAATATAGCCTTTGCTCCACTGGAGTCTGTTCATAGCAGTTGAGAGATATATCTCTGAGGCTAAATTTTAAGCTATCATGGGATTTATTTGTTCCCATGATATCAGACTCTTTTCCATACACAACTTGAAAACCTCTGAGGTGGAGGTTCAAACCTGGTTTTTCTGCTCGAGTCACGCTTTCAGCGTTAGCAAATTTGAGGATGTAATATTTAAAAAAAAGATATTATAACTGTAGCTGTTACATGTTTTAAGAAACTTTGACACTCATTTTCTGCTGGTCTGTCCCTTTCAGGTTACCATGGCTTGTATTGTGAGGAGGAGTATAATGAGTGTCTGTCGGCACCCTGCCAGAACTACGCCACCTGCAGGGATCTCATCAATGCCTACGAGTGTGTCTGCACATCACAGTTTGAAGGTATGGGAACTTGCGTGTGGGATAATGTGTAATCTTTCGCTTTCGTTCTAAGCTAAAGTTTCACAGTCCATAAACTTGCATCACAGTGAGTCGTCACGGGTTTCCTCCTTGTGTGTCGGCGCAGGCAGACACTGTGAAATCTATAAGGACCCGTGTCTGAGGATGCACTGCCAGAATGGAGGGCACTGCGAGAGCAATGGTCTTAACGCTTCTTGTGCATGCCCACCTGGATACCTGGGTGAGTACTGGTGCCAGTAAGAGGATTACAGATCATTTCCCAGGAGAGTGAAAGTAAAAACAATCAAAATCTGACAGTACCACTACAAAAAATTGCAATGGGACATCAAAGACCTACAAAATGATTACAAAGAGCACTGAAACTACGAAAAGGGGGCATAAAATGTGATGCAGAAAACAATAACAAAGCTATCTACTAGATTACTATAAATTGCTAAAATGGTACAAAAAGAAATTCACGTGAGACCCAGACTAAGAGTCCTAAAACACAAAGTGGTGACGGTGACAGAATAGACATGAAAACATTCAGTATGAAGCTCAAAACTACATAGAGCATTTTTTACACAATCCAGCAATGCAAATTGTTTGCAAGGGCACACATACTGTATGTGTGATTCTATGTCCTTTCGATCAAAACTCGTGGTGCCTTCCCTGTCTACTCAGGAGAGAAGTGTGAGGTTGACATCAATGAGTGTGAGAGCAGCCCTTGTCACCATGGTGGCACCTGCATCGACCAATCAAATGGCTTCACCTGCCACTGTCCACCTGGGTGGGTTGGCCCCAGCTGTGAGATCTGTAAGTCAGCCTGTCAGAAAACATCTCTGCAGTGATCAATTTAAAATGTGACATGCTGGAAGGTGAAGGCCTCTGTGTTTGTGTGTGTGTGTGTGTGTGTGTGTGTGTGACAGATCTGCAGTGGAAGCCAGCACACACCGAGGATACCCTGACCAACATGCCCCGCCACTCCCTTTACATCATCATCGGAGCTCTGTGTGTGGCCTTTGTCCTGATGCTCATCATCCTCATCGTGGGCATCTGCCGCATCAGCCGCATCGAGTACCAGGGCTCCTCCCGCCACGCCTACCAGGAGTTCTACAACTGTCGCAGCATCGACAGCGAGTTCAGCAACGCAATAGCCTCCATCCGCCATGCTCGGTTAGTGAGGGCAATTACATTCACAAATGCTCCGGGGGATTTATATCGAATTTCAAAAGTTTGGTATTTTCTACTTCAAAGCTTTTATGAGCTGTTACATTGCTGTATTTATAGCTAAAATTGCAAACTGACAACCATTTAGTACACTCGTGTGCACTATTATTTGTATCCACTTTAAAGGATGTGGTGTTTCTCAGCATAACAATGTCTGCGATGTAAAGAATTACGCAGCACACGCTCCAGAAGTCTAAATCTTTACCGACAGCCCAAAAGGTCATGCACATTTTATCACCCCAGCGTAGCAGAGCTTTCCACACAGCAAGCAAACACAATCAGACTGTGAGGCTCACACGACGAGATAGCAGCTGCAACATCTGCAAGATAGCTGTGAAATTAAAAATCAGCAGGAAGCTGGAACACCAACCTCACCGAAGACGGTAAAAGGTTTGTTTAGATGAGAGATAACTCCAAACCTCCACATCTCTGGTGCCCACAGACTGGATTGGAATATTTTTTCCTGATCAAGCTGTGTTGGCATAAGATTAGGTGACTCATAGTTTGTGTGTGCAGTTACGATGTGTAAAGGTTTATAAGATCTGGCCAAATAGTTTTGATTTTAGCAAATAATGAACAGCAACTATAAGCCAAACCTGACCAGGAAGTGAGGGAAAGTTTGGGTTATGACATGTTTTGTTTATGTGTAGGCATGGGATCCGTGATGCTGACTGATATCTTATTCCAAACCAGGATCTTTTCCTAAATCCTAACCAATTAATGTTATTTTTTAGACTAAACAGGAATTGCCAAAAGTTTCTTCGTAAAGATTGTCATAATATTCTGTTTTTAAAGTGGTGTTATGAAAACATGAATATTTGGGGGAGCTGCACTTTCAAGCACCATCCAACCCCCTTATGAGAACTTTTGTAGCAATTTAATTGATAGATTTAAAAATAAAGGGTTTGGGGATATGGTTAGGCATTTATGCCTTTTATAAGGCACAGATGTCACAGATGTATGCCTACTGTCATCGTTTTCCAGAACTCTTTTCTGCTTTCTTGTTAGATTTGGAAAGAAGTCACGTCCCGCCATGTACGACGCCACTCCCATCGCCTACGAGGACTACAGCCCCGACGATAAGCCTCTGGTCACCCTCATCAAGACAAAGGATTTGTAAAAACAACAGAGCAATTTTAAAAGCTTCGCAAGATCAAAAGAGCTGAACATGTACACATTTGCACACACGTCAGAGCAGTTCAAAAATGAAAGTATTTCCTAATAAAAAAACAAAAACTGCAACAGCAAAACAAAATCGAATGTAAAGATAAAAAAAACAAAACATACTGTCGTTTAAAAAGAACAAATCTGGAATTTGATAAATCTATTTTCCTGTCAAAGTCCAAGACAAGGCTTTATTGTAGCATAAAAGTATACTTTGCGTTAAGTTATAGAAGACAGGCAACGCTACCAATAATCCCTGCTGTACAATAGAATAGCCCGACTATAGTCTGCACCAGACTGTCTATCTGTAGGCGGGTTCCGAAACCCAGCTTTAACTCAGCAGACAGCGCTGACAACCGTCCTTAGCGGTGTAGTAGAAATAGATGCATCACACGGTGCACTCACTGTATCTTTTTCCACGTCAAAAACGAAACATCTGCTGTAGGTTGCCTTACTTTTTGCATGGTTAGATTTGATGTTCTACGCAATATTTTACAATCCTTTGTTCTTGGTTGTCAATTGATAGTTGGCTCCCCACTCTGTCAAGAATGTGCCAAATGTTTTATTTGTGTATTTTGTGGTTAGTAGACAAAATACATATATGTGTAAAATACTAGTCACGGATTTTTCCTCCTTACAGTAGAACACACTCAGTATTGTCCTGTTGAATAGTAAAGAAAGTGCGTGTGCTGGAGTCATGTGACCCTACCAAGCTTCTGTAAGTATCTAAATGATGTTTAGGGTAATAGGTAGGTATATTTTTCACTGCACAGAAAAATAGTCAGTTTAACTCAGTGTTCCTTTTATCAAATCCACTATAATTAATGACAGTCAAGTTGTTTCAGGTTGCAAGTTTCTTGAAAGAAAATAGCTGGCTTTAGGGTGGAGAAGGTGGAGGAGGAGGCTGAGAGGGGTGGTTTCAACTCCAGAATATACTTTACGTGCTTCTGTGTTCTGCCGGTGGAAAACTTTTCTATCTGTGCAGCTGTGTCGCTCCACTCAAGGCCAAGCAATGCTTTACTCGGCTGATCCAATTTTTTTTCTCTCTCAATTTAATCGCAGCAACTACATGATTACCTATTATCTATGTTGAATTATGTAAACAATAAAAGATCCAAGTGAACAGAATCTGTGTGCATTGTGTCCTGTGCGACCACTGGAAGGAGGCCGCTTGCTGAATTTGGCTGCTTTGTTTTTGCTTTGTGCCGTTCTTTGTTACATGGCACATGTCATATTCAAAGCAGTGCTGTTTGAAAGCCTTTAACTTTAGTACCAATAAGAAAAAGGGTCTTTTTTATAACAAAAAAAAGAAATCTTTCTCTCAACACACAAACAAGACTATAAACTTCTTAAGTGTTTTCTGAAACCAAAGTGGCCAAATTGACCACTTAAACAGGTAAGTGTGATTTTGAGTATCTTACAGCACTTCCAAATATAATCCTAAAACACACATTTTTGCAAAATTATTATAGTTACATTTGAAAACAAGTTCCCTACTTTATTATGTTTTTCAGTCCTGAGGTTGTACCCAGCAGTCTGAACCATCCACTGTGGAAAAGGCCTTTTATGGAGTGTCAGTGATGTGAACACCCTCATTGACCCAAGGCTTTATCAAGATGTTGCCCTTTACAAACATCACTGAATACAGACTGGGATTGTTGTCTAGCTGAACACACCTAAGTGTATTGTACCCACATTTACATACACACTGGGTGCCAGACCAACAGATGTCGTTACTGGCTGTTGTGCTTGACTTTTGCCCTCTAAGTGGTCTTGAGGGTGAGACTTTTGACAGAGGTCCCACAAAACGTAGTCCATCACAGACACTTTTTTTTTTACAATGTTTTTAAAACAATGGAAATAGAAAATGATTGTCCAGTGGTTAGTTAAAAATACTTAAGCATGGTGCTTAACACAGTTGTTGTCCACATGACCGCATTAAAAGAAAGCCAAGTGAATTTCCCTTCATAAATATATATGTATATGTATATATATATACACACACAAATGTTTTCACAAAAGACAGTTTTTGTTTATTTTAAAATGATGTTCTGCCATTCTGGTCATGTTTGATTTTATGTCCCCCGGCAAGCTTTATGGTTTCAGCTCCTAATATTGGATGGCCAGGTTTGCTTTAAGCAGTAGTGAACTATCCAGGGAGTGCCTTTAATGATCTATCACAGCTCAATTAGTACAGCAAAAAGAATACAATCACATGGCTGGTGACGTGGAGATTACCGCAAATCAGCCTAATTCATATTAGGTGTTGAACCACTAAACAATTATATTAAAAATTCCTAGAAAATATAATCACATGCGAGAGTGCATTTAGCTGAGGATGATTGTGTCGCAAAAACTATTGTGAATACAGTCAGAGACGGTAGGGCCTCGATTTCCTACAACACCTGAAAGCAACGTAGGACTGACATGGCACAGCCAAAAAAAACAAAAAAAAAACACATCAGGTGCCGCCACCTGCTGGTGAGAGCGGGAACTACAGCCGGGGCAGGCGGAGCAACACATCCCTCATTTGCAGCCCAGAGTGAAGAGGGACAGAGAGGCACGCTGTGAGGGGGAACAGATGTGAACAGGACTACGACAAGACAACAAGCCGCAGCAAAGACGGAGACCCAGCTATTCTGCTAACATGTGGCAACCCGCGTCGGAGCGACTGCAGGTAGGAGCCGCGTGTTTGTGAGCCGCTTCTTTTCAACCGAGCGGCGGTAAATGAGGCTTCCTTTGCCGCGGTAAGAGCCACCGAGAGCCGCTGCGCTCTGCGTGGCTTTCAGCCTGGAGGGGGTCGCTACGGTTTCGAACCAGCTTCGCGACGTCTTCCTTTAGCATTTAAGTCTCAATGCTAGCAGTTAAACGAATATATTTTTTAAAACTAATCTTTCCTTGTATACGTGAATCCGTTTGGCCGGACGTTTGAACGCACCTCTCCACGTTATGCAAGCAGGGGGTGCATCAAACCGAGTCTCCTGCGCTGCATTCGTTAGCTGGTGGAGAAATCTCCCTCTCATTTCGGAAGATATTTTCAAGGTGTGCTCGTAATGTCCTCGTCCAGGTCCCCCGCTCTATTCCATCCAGCTCTCTGCCCTCACTCAGTCTGGAGGCCTTATCCTCCTGTTGTCACTTCCACACACACTCCGCGTTTCCACATCAGGGATGCTTTACCTCCAGGTTTTTTTTGTTTTGTTGTTGTCGCTGCTTGATTTACGTGACAAATCGCTAAACGCAACCCCGCTCTCGACACGTAGTTTGATATCCAGGGGTAAGCCGAGCACCGACCCTGGCTTCGCGTCTCCTGCACACGTAATGCTCTCCAGATGTCGGCCTACTGACTGCCTGCCAAGTGAACTTGCACAATCCCTGCTCCTGCCCAGGCGTCAGGAGGATGGAATAACCGATGATTAAAAGCTGGAGTTCCGATGTTTGTCCTCCAGTCGGTTGTGGGGGTTAGGGGGCCACTGTAAAAGGTGGCTCCAGGTAAATTAGGCGTCCATGCTCTGGAACTGCCGAAAGCCGCCGCCATAGGCCGACGTGTCGCCTAGCAACCGCGTTCCAGAACGTGGCGGACATAAGTCCATAATTTTGAGCTGTCACCGAATCAGGTTTATTGAGGTCTACGCTGCGTTTGTTTTTTAATTTAATTATTATTTTTTTAATGTTTTGATATGATTAAAGACTCACACAAAGCCAGTGTCATTTTTTCCATAGCTAGTTCCTCCAGTAGGTTTTTGGAAGTGTCTGCAAGTGAATCATTCCACACTTTGCCAACTACGACTAAATCAAACGGAAAATAACCATAAAACAAATCTTGGGGGGGATGAACCCAGCTTTCATAAATTAAAAAGTTTTCACTATTTAAAATGCCAGTTACTTTCATATGCAGACATGGACTATTCCCTTATATTCACTGCGCAGTGACAGTGCAGCTGTATGTTTTGTAAAAAGTAAGATGGGGTAATGTTTTTCTCCAGAACTCATAAGCTTTAACATTATTGAGTCCATTGCTTTGATAGTCCAACTGAGACTGCCAAAAAAATTCCATAAGAGTATAGACTTTACAGGCTCCAGCAGGTAAGATTTAATATTGGTACTTTAAGTATTAAATGCAACAAACAAACTAAAAAAGAAATTCGATTGAATAGAACACCCAGACCTTCTTTTTGCGCCATCTGACCTAAGCTGACCATGGCTAGATGCTGTGTTACACGTCTTTCTGGTCTGTTCCAGTGTGTGCCACGAGGGATGAAAGTGTTCATCAAACATAACAGAAATACTACTGCCTTTCCAAATTCCTTGAAATGTCAGGAGTGGTTATCAAGAGATGTAGTTTTAGATTTGTGATATTGGTGCAGTTACCCAACAAATCTACCAAATAACCATCTCAAGACTTGTGGACTGTCCCACCACAGTGCTGTTGTGTTAGGAAAGGTTCTAAATCAATGCCACTACTGTTAGTAGAAGGAACTCGGCCAATTCAAATCATCACAGAAGGAGATGATAATAGAATAGCTTAAAACTCTGGAAAACTGATTAGAAATAGTATTGTGAGTACTATTCTCGGACCTGAAATTGTGATGTCAGTATTTTCTTGCATCCTCTCCATGTGACTGGGTGAAAATGACTTCATAAAGACTTTTGGAATTAGATCATGGTTGGCCAGGCTTTTAAAACTGTGGATGGGCTTCAAAAGGCTGCACAGCTGACTTTCCACATTGTTCAGTTCCGCTTATGAGAACAGGTGGTGAGAAACTCTTTAAAGTCAGTTTAAGTAAAAGTCACCCAGGAAGATATAATCGGGGCTCATCACTTAAAGCTCAAGAAAATATACCGTCTCACTCATTTGGGTTATTTGAGCCTGCTTATTTACAGTCCTCACATCAGCATCAAAGTTGTAATCACGACACGGAAACTCTGAAAATCAAAGATACATATGTGTTTGAAAAATTTGTACCTTTGACAAAGGGCCTTTGGCTCCCATCAGCTCTCTTTATGGAAACCAGCTGTGGCGGAGCTGTTTCTCCGGCCCTTGATAATTGATGGATCATTTTGGAGGATCATTTGGAGTGTTAGTTTCCAGGTTGTTTTTGAAAGGTGATTTTTGATAACGTAATACTAGCCAGAGTAAAAAAATAGTACAAAGACTAACCAAACCTACGTTGAAAATTGATGAAAGAAACAACCATTCCAGTTTCTTGCTTTGTAACCATGGCAACATCCTCTTTTTAGGCTGCCATCCTTCACCTTTTGTGAGGGAGGAATGATGGGGTTTACGGAGCTGATAGCTGATATGGATCTGGCTTATTATGTCTTTTTTGTGTTTGGGCATGTATCCCCATTACTTTCACTTGAGCTGTCCTTTGTTGCCATAGCAACACCTGGTGTCTCGTTGCTTTTTTTGTCTCGCACCGAGGCGGCGAGCGAGGGGTAAAGACGGATAAATGGAGGTGTAGGGGTGAGGGGGAGCCGGTTTGGGGGTGTGTAGTGCTGTAGGTCCGTGGGACCAGAGTGTGTGTTGCAAAGCGGCTGGTGGGGCGTCTCGGTCAGTTTCGGTGTCCCTTCCTCCCCCCCAGGGAGAGGCCACGTTTGTTCCCCATCAGATTGCACAACATGTGGCGGTTTGGGAACGGCCACGCACAGGCGCACACACTCGCATGGCCAGTAGCGGCGCAGGTTACACGTGCACACGCACACACAACAGCTTGCTTCCCTTTTGAGCTGCTAGACATCTTCCCTTCCTCTTTCAGCAGCCTTTCTTTAGCCACGGCTTCAAGTTTTGGCTCCTCAGTGTGACAAACAGGGCCTGACAGAGCAAAACGGGCCGACCGAGGTCAAGCCCGGTCAGGGGCTGCCGCTGTCTGTGCATCTTTTCTTGAGGCTGCGGCCATCTGCGTTTGCCTTTGTTTGTTTGTCTGAGGTTGCTTCGTAGGCACAGTAATGTTGAGTTGTGGTCTATGGTGGCAGAAGGAATTCATAAGCAGAACGGCATCGTTCCCCCCCTTTTTTCCCTCTTTTCTTTCAGCCAGTACACATTTCCTTCCTGTTACCAAATGGCTTTTGGCTCACTGATTTGGCTCAATGTTTTTTGATGAATAGGCACATAGTTCGATAGTGAAAATATTAAATTTATTAAATCTTTGGCTTTCTGTGGACTCTGATTCCTCTCCTCCTTTCTGCTTCGTTCTTTTTTCCTGGAACGGAATACCTCTTTGAATAGAACATCTCCTCTCACGGTACCTTCCTTATTTGGATGTTAGGAATTCATTTTGGCATAGATCTTGAAATGTTATGTAATCCAATCTTTATGCATGTATTACAAACAAAAAAACAAACATAAAAAACAAACAGGTTGCGTTTTAGAGGTTGTGTTTCAGCCTAACCGAGTCAAACACAATGATCAATGGTGAATTCATTACTACGTCCGTATTTTCACTAACACTTCATTAACACTTGTTAATTGGGCTGTGCAATATGTCTTAGAAATAACATCTGTGAAAAGAAAATCGAAGAAAATAATTTGTAATTCTATTAATCTAGCAATCTGCCGTTTTTTTTCTTTTTGAGGCTGGAGACCCAAAGCCAGACCACATCCAAATAACCCCTAATGCTGTAGCGCTCCAGTTGTTATAGACAGACACAGGTTTTCGTCACTGTGGGGACCTCCTTCGGCCCTGCTTAGGGGCTGAGCCGGTTCAGACACATTTCCCCTTGTAAACTGTCCCAGGAATCAGAGGGGGAGGCTGTAAACAAACAGGAGCCCAGCTTCCAGCGCTCAGCCTTTTGCTGTGCAGGAGAGCTGGAGGGGTTCGTCGGCCTTGGGGAATAACTGCCGACACATGGGCTACCTGCGGGTCCCGGCTTATGCCAACAATGTGTCCAGAGGTGGAAGTGAGCCTGTGTGCAAAAGCGGCATCTGAGGTAGAAACCGGGGCAGAGCCGAGCCGGTTGCCAGTCCACAGAAATGCAAAACTTGAGACCAAAAGTAAAGCCATTGTTTGAAAAATGGAGGTACTTGGTTTCCCTCAGCACACATTGGGGAGAGAATTCATGAAGGATCCATTTCATGTGTAACTTTAGCTCATGTCCTGTTTACTCGGGAAAAGGCACAACTCAAGAAAGAGCTTCTCATCCTCGCTCCTGACAAACCAGTGTGAATATAGAGCACTTTCTGTCCACTTCAACCAGAGTTGGGAAACGTTCTGCCTGCCTGCGTGACAGGATGCACATTCTTAGCCGTGGTTTTCTTCTATTCCGCTGATCAACAGCTGGTAACATGACAAGGCATGTAGCAACGCACCAGCTAGGAGCGAGAGGGGGAACTCAGCAAGCACGCATGGATGGAAATGGCCCCATTTTTAAAAAATATCCACATAGTGACACAGGGTACACCAGGATTGTATACAAGTGCTGGGGCGGCCGGTCTTACTGTAACACGCTTTGAGTTTTAGAACCAACTACTTGCCATTCGCGTATCCGAGGGGCGTGCTCTTTCCGATTATCGTGCCTTTGGACACAAACATCTGTCCACTTGGCTTCTGCTGGCTTCTTAACATCATTTCCAGCTGTTTTTTTTTCCATGACTCCATCTCTTCACCATTAAGTCACAGTGTCTAGTGGGGGTGTGGCCGAGTGCCTGCCTTTACCCTCTTATTGAGTATCTTACCATGATATTGACCTGAGAGCCTCTTTCCTGTTAGAAAGCACCCTCAGGGGGCGCTGAGTTTAACTTACCATCTGTGACCTGTTAAGCTCATCACTGCAGGAGGCCAACTGCACAAAAGGCTCTCTGAAGGCTGTCTGAGGCTTTCATTTGATTGTTCCAGAGCTTCTTTTTGACATTTTTGCCTATTTTTAGACTAACAAATATATGATGGCTGTAACGTTTTTGAAAAATTAGCTCTTATGGACACCTGCGATCTCCAGCAATAACCGGAGAGATACAAAAGGAAACAGTCATCAAGCAATGCTTGGACTCCCCTATAAATAACTGGACATCACCCATGAATCACGCAGTCGTCGTTTATGTCATTTCCTCCGAGACTAAGAGAGGGAAAAGAAGCCTTTCATAACCCCTGAGACTTCAAGTATTTTGTGTCGAAATTTGCAGGGAGATCTTTCAGTAGCTACCTACAGATTCATTTGACACTTAAAGCCACAAATTATATACAAATCCAAGAGACTTTTTGAATAGTTGTTGGAGTTACGGTACTTGTCTGCTCTAAAGAAAAACGGTCAAATCTGGTAAATTTCCGGTCTGGTTTGGTCCCCCGTGAGCATTCCTCCTTCTTCTCCAAACAAAACCCCACTGCTGGTAAAGTAATGACTAACCCTTAGTGACAACCCGATTCATCACGTGTCACTGGCAGATGCTGATAGATATCAAGAATTGGACCCAAAAAGCAGGGTGTCTCTTATCAAACCCTGGCAGGGTGCTGTAAAACTGTTACATTTTCTGACCTCATATCTTTTTGATGTTTGTTCAGCTTAGCGGCCCCCACATGTTCCTCAGTGCTCGGTGGGTTTCTGCAAAGAACTTCAGTCCAGTTCCCTCATTAGTGGTGTGACTGAGAGGGTTTCAGCCTTCAGAGGAGGTCACCAAATCAAACATTTACATAGTACTCGTGGAGGTCGGGCTCCTGAGTGATTGCTCAGGTGTCTCTTTAAAAAAAAGTGTTGTTTTTCATATCGCTGGCAGAGGATTATGGTGTGGAGACTTAATGTGGTTTTATGCGGGCAAGATGCCCACCTTGTGCCGGCCTATAAAACAAGCGACCCACTTTGTTTTCGAGGTGGAGACCAGAAAGCCTGCCAAGTCAAAGTCAAAATGAGGGTCAGTTCCCAATAACCTGATAATGAGACTGTGGGGATTAAAACAAAAAATCATTCAAATGTAGTGAAAATATTCTGAAATGATTTCCAGCCCTCCACTCAGTACTTCTGCATCCGCCAAGGGAGGGGTGGCACAGCCCCCCCCCTCACCACCCAGCAAGCAGCCTTCATCCTCCCCCCTGTCACTCCATACTGGGGCCAGCCGCTGGAATGAAAGCCACTGTCAGGAAGCTGTAAAGTGCTGACGCGGAGGTCAGCAAGCATTAACACATGTGGCTTCAGTTTCACAAGGACATCTTGCACCTTCTTGTTTTCTCCTTCATCGGTTTATATTTGTCCGTTCCTCTTCCTTATTGTCCTCCCTTCATTTTAACATCCTTTTCCTCAAAAGAAGTTCCACTCACTATTACGAAGATCATGTAAATCACCAGACATGTCTGATCCATAATAGTTATGGCTCAGTTTGACATCTTTACAAAGGCGAAAATGGAAGAACAGCTCATTTGAAATAATGTGGTATGAAACAGGACTATGTTTCATTGGATTTATGTTAATAATGAAGAAGAAAACCCAGTGTTTTTAAAGCCGGCAACTGGACTCCAAAGTTGTTTCTGTAATTTGATTGAGGATGTTCTGCTTGGCTTTAAAAAGCCACAGCGAAGATTGATTAAAGCCATTTTTGGCAGGGTTGGCTGCTTTCATCGCATAAAAATGTTGACCATCTGTTGCATAGGGAAACAGTGTTTGCGCAGTCCAACAATGTGAGCAGCTTTGAAGTTCCAGAGAGTATAGGGAAGAGTTAGTGAGCGGCAAAAAGCGATTTGCACTTCAGAAAAGACACTGAAGGTGTTTTATTCTTCAGGATACATTTGTGGGGAAGATTTTCCTCTAAATTTGCTTGCTTTGGCTTTAAGTTATCAGGTCTGTTAAATGGGGAATATACAACCTCAGGAAACAAATGTGAGCAGCAGTAATTTGGACAAAATGACAGCCAAAGCATCAAGTGAAACCTGGGGTGTGCAGCCTGTCAGTTAGCTCATTAATCTCTTTTCTCTCAATCACACACATCAATTCAGAGTCTGCTCATTTCCCTCCCTGTATGTGTGTGTGTGTGTGTGTGTTTACACCTTTTTCCAGTCGTAGGAATGTAAAGAAAGCAGGACATAAGGGGTGTAAAGAGGGAAAAGGTGCTAAGTCAGACTAAACTTTGGTTAACAGCCCTTAGTACTTGATGTTCTGAAAACAGCCGTGATCTCTCCGCCTTGTGCTGTTGCAGACAGCTGATAAGTATGCAGAATGCTTTGACTAATATCTCCACGTCTGTTCGTATTGAAGGAACAAACCTGCTGCCCGGAGAACCACTGTTTGCTGTTTAACAGATGAATATACAGCATATCTCACAGCACCACCAGGAGTTTCCCATTGGTTGGCCTTTTTAAAACGGTACTTTACCGACTCCTCTATGTCACACGTGTCAGCCATGCTTTTACAAACTCGAGGGTTCTAATGTTTGACAGATGGCTTTATACGATATATTTTTTTGCCACTTACATATGTGCAAATTGCTAACAAAGCAATGCTAACTACGACAGATGCTGCTGGCCTCATTTACTCTCAATTAACCCTGATGGACTGGGTCCAAACAGTGTCTACATCTTTGTGGGGCTGTAGGATGATTATGTGATAAAGGCTAGTAAAAGGAGTGTCAGTTTTTCCTTTTTTAACTCCTCTAAACTTAGTGCACATCATGTTAGCATGACTCTAATCCCCCCCCCCCCAAAAAAAAATCCCATATAATTTATTTTGGCTGTTTGGCTGTATATTGGATGATTTGGTCTCTTTTTTTTGTTGTTTTTGTTACTTTGCGGTTACTGCGGTGTGGATGACTGTGCGACTCTGTTTGGCTCTTGAGCCCGCTCTCGTGAAAGTCTTAATATCAAAAGCTCCTCAGTTATGTTTGGACTATTTTGTGGAAGCCTAGAAATTCCTCAGGGGTTCAGAGCAGAGAGCCACAACAACTTCAGGAAGCGCCGGCCGTGGAGGCTGGTGTGAGGGTGGGCTGGCGCTCCTGCTTTGATGGAGACGGGGAGGGCAGAGCTCCCTTGGTCTGTTCCTCACATTTCACGCGGGGCTCAATAAAGCTCGCACAGCCTCTCACTTTCATTTTCAGTTTTCACCTCTGGGACGAGTATGACGGTAAACTGAACTGGTTTCTTTTAAACGGCACAAACGTAAAGTTCAATTTCCTTCTAAGTGTTTGCATCCTGTTTAGTGGAACCTTGATTATATGTGGATTTGATGATGGTAACACATTGTATATATTTAAGCAACATGTATTTCAGGTTCTGAGTAGTAATCCTTAATCATTTGTATCTTTAAACTATTCCCAAAGCGCGCACAGCTAAAGTACACGACCTCTCTCTCTCTCTCCTTTAGCACTTTCAGACGATGCTGAAGACCAAGCTAAATGTGCTGACACTGAGGAAGGAGCCGTTGCCCACGGTGATCTTTCACGAGCCCGAGGCCATTGAGCTGTGCTCTACCACGCCACTGGCAAAGAGCAGGACCCAAGCTGGATACAAGGTAGGATCACATGAGCCCCATAATCCTCAGATCTAACCCCGTTCCCGAAAACAAAACCCATAATAGCATTAACAAAAAGAATGAGCCAAATGTTTTTTCCTTTTCTCTTTGTTCCCTCCCACCAGTTTAATTAATTTCCACTGTGGAATTTTGCTACACTCCTAGTTTTTAAAGTTAGCCTTCGCTTCACAACCTTCAGTAATTACCTCAAAAGCGTGTGTGTGGGGGCGTACGCGTACATGTGTTCTGGCATGAGTTTGTTTGTTTTCCTCTTCTCCTTGGTTCTGCTGAGTGTCAGATGTAAGGCTTATTCTTTTTTTTTTGTCTTTCTGGCCTTACAACTGAAAACACAAATAGCTGTAGATAATAAATAGCTGCGACTTTGTATTGTTTCACAAAACACACTTAAGTGACTGGCACGTCTCTGTTTGAGTGCTTTGAGCAGGAACGTTTGCCTGCATTTGTTTAAAGGCTCTTTTTTTTGGTTTTTTACATGGAAATATTCTGTGTAATTTGTAAGTGTGGTGAAAAAGGAGGCATGCCGCGTCCAATTTCACCAAACCAGAACAGACTTTTCATAACTGGAAGCTCCACTGAAAGCACAAACAATAATACCCCCATGGAATTATTGCCAGAAACTGTTATTGGTGTTTGCCTTTGTTGGATGGCTTTATCGAAGAGCTAAGGTAAACACACAGAGATGTTGAGCGTAAAAGACATTCAAATGTAACGTGAAGCGAAAGTCAACAAGGGGGACTTCCCACGCATGGAGGACAAGCCAGGTGTTTCTTATAGACACAGCGGGATATAATCTGCGGGAAATCTACTAACTCTAAAAATTAATCTAAGGGGGGCAAGAATTTTGCGGCCCCTTTTGTTTCACAATCACACACACAACACTTAAACCAAATAGACCATATATTCTATTAAAGCCTCTTGATGTGATGCAATAGATTGAGAGGTAGGGAGGCTAAATGGGAAATGTAGTTCTTTATTTTCTCCTCTCAGTGGACTGTACATTTAGCATTGTTATTGGGTGATTGCTGTCATTTAGAACAGCCAACTAAAGCAGTCATGTCAGAGAGGATCAATGAAAGTCGGCATGACCCTGAAGAAACGTGCAGCATCAGAAAAAAATGTGGAATGTCAAAGAAAATGCTATTTCAGTTCTACTCTGTCTCAGCTGATCTGTCTGTGTACTGAGTCGCCCCATGAGGGGAAGGCAAGGATATTAGTTTCATAAATTAGATTGCAGTGGAAACACGTGCACCTTTTAAAGTGTTTGAAACAGCAGAGTCCTTCCATCATAAATCTAGCTATAAACAACATAGTCAAACATTTGACTGGTAGTCTTTTTTTAAAACGCACATGCACTTTACCACAACGGAAAGTGCCTCAGTATCCTTTCAGACCTCTAAGTTCACCCATTTCTGGAGCTTCCTAGCTTATACGCTGTTGTTTAGTCTAGATTTATGTCTGTACCAGAGCTGTTGACAGATTTGAAAATGATTGCCATATTGTTTTTACAAAAGAGATTAACACTATCCTTTGTATTTTTATTCAGTTTATACTAACTTTTTGGTAGACCGTTGAGCATTTATCCCAGTTTTAGCAGCACTAAACTCATACATGCAGGAATGGTTGGGACTTTACTCTCAGTCACATTAGCTGAGTATATAAGGCCAACTGTAAAAAAATCGGGGCCACACAATTTTCCCATTTGTCTGCGGTGGTTTTTACATAATCCTTGTGATATGTCTTTGTTTACGCTGCTCTGTACTTTTGAGCCTGTGCCTGTTTTAAATTCGCTTATTGTTGCCTCTCGTGATAATTTCGTAAGCAGAGGGGTGGCAGCAGGTGGGGTAAAAATGATGGGATACGTTGTGACACATAATCTAGAAACACATTACAACACAGTACACTTTTTGGTTTCTGAAAAGTCCATATAGAGTCATTTTTCATTGGCCTGGGCCAGTAAGCATTTTCTCCTGCTGACATGTAAAAGATAAACTTCTGCTCAAGTTAACAATAAAAGCCAGTGAAGCTACTTGAGTGGTAATCATGTCACATGTTACTGACTCATCAGCCTGCTGCTGTTTAGTGAGTCACTCTTAATTCCCTTGCTCATCACTGCTTTTAAATATCCTTCATGCATGGGCAGTGCTTGCAAACATGGTGCTACAGAACGTCCAGATCTGGCCTGCTGCAGGACTAAACATAGCTGCCTGATGATGCGATGCATGCTTTATCAGCAGGAATCAGGCCGCAGCACAAAGCAGCCTGTTTTTAACCCGTTTGCCTGTCACCGCTATGACTGAAGAAAATATTGAGGCGTGCTCTAGGTGAACGCATCTGGAGGTGGTAGCCCTCTCTGTTGAGTGTGAATCCCAGCGTCCACTCGTCGCCTGCACCGTTACTGTACTCGCTGCGTTTTCTTGTGTTACTGAGAATCCCAAAGCCGTGTTGCCTTGGATACCACTACGTCTTTTCAACCAAAATACCAGACACGCGAAAAAAAACATTCTCTCCCTCATCTGTCTGTGCCCCCCTTAAATGCAAGTCTGTCTGCTTTTGTGTCTGCATCTGCTGGCTTGTGTAAGTTCCTGTCTGACCTGCCTGTCTGCATATCTCCCTGCCCACCTGTTCCAGCATCTCTGCTTCCACAGTTTCTTCTCAAAGAGACTTTGTCTTTCATGGAAGAAAAACTGAAGAAGCACGAGTCTTCCTTTTTTTTTTTTTTTTGGACTCTTGGCCTTCCTGTTGGCTTGATTTGATATACTGCAACACAATAGGATAGCATTTATCATGCTTTTGGAGTGGTTTTTTATATTCCTTTTCTTTCATTTCTCCTTTTTTCATCCTTCAGTTGTGCTCCCAGTTTACAAGAAAGCAGGATGTCTGGCTGTGGGCTGCTGTCTCCCTGCCAAAGCTAACAGCTAGCAAGGATGAAAGGCCACCTCTCACTGCCCTGCCATCCCTGCTGCTGTCCACTTCACATCCACTGAGTATTTTTGAATGCTGTGCAGCCATTCCCTCCCTGTTGGCATTCTCTATTGAAATAATGCTGTTTCTTGTGTAGAATATAATGAAAATTACTGTGGCAAAAAACTTTAAGTGAAAATGAATCACTAATAGACACAATTTCCGAAATGAAAATTAACCTTGTCTTAAATATGGCAACTTTGCTTACTTATTTACTCTAAATGCTAACAGACTGATTAGTAACCTTATCTCAGTTAGCATATCTCATCCTCACACTTTTTCTGGGCCAGTTGAAGCACATATAGCCAGCTAATGCAGAGGCTTTAGCTTATAGAAGAAAGCAGGTTTAAGATAAGCACTTGTTGATCTTAATGCTTAAAGCATTAAGATATTATTGAATACTGTTTGAATATTTGAAATATTTTATTTTATTATAATCTGCTCCATTCAGCTCTTATAATTATCCAGTCCACATATTGTGCCAGCAGACCTAAAAGATTCATAAAGAAATATTAGATTAGAAAATATTGTTGACTTAGATGGCTTTTTTTTTAATCCGCATTATTACAGGCCTAAGGTCTTTTGGCCATATGGACGGCTGGTTCTAGAACTTGTGTTGGTAACAGTTTCCCTCATAGTGAGACCAAACCAGAGTGTGTGGCTCTCCCTCCCAGACGTCATTCACGCTCACAATCCATGCAGGAGCGCCTGGTTCTGACATGCCTTTATCTAATCAGCGGGGCCTTTTGTATCTCTGTGCTTTGTATTCTGATGTCAGTCAGCGTGCTGAACACGCCATCACTTTCCATCCTGTGAAGAAGAAACAGAACGCACAATGACGTTTTCAGATGACCATCGACCTGTCGTTTGAGATCACAGGTGTGTGTCTGTGTGCGTGTTTTTATGCCTGCCATATTTGTTGGTTTATAGATAAACATAGAAATGAATATAGAGATGTGTCAGTTTCAATTGAACACACAATCGTAACACTCAAATTCTGGTAGTGTTTTTGTCAGAAATGTGGAAAATGTAGTTCTTTTTTTTAATTTTTTTATGGAAACTCAAGATTTGTGGAGTAGAGACTCAGTCTGGACTCTGCCTCAGGTGGACTGGTGTACTTTTCTGCTGGCACTGCTGCTCGTCGGTGTAGGAGCCAGACTGGGCTGCATTTCAGGGCTTCCCTCAGATCCACATTCTGAGCCAGGCTTTGAGACCCCTCCAAAAATAAAAGACAGTATTCGTGGGATAGTGAGGCCAAATGTTTTCCCCACTAGGTAGCTGGAATGCCGTGCGGCTCACTAGATCCTGGTTGCATGAGAATTCGTTCTGCCTGGTCGTAAGCCCTGCGTTAGGGGGACAGAGTTTAAATTGAACATTAACAGGACTTTTTCACATTACTGTATGAATTAGCTGGGCGGCTGGATGTGTAGAGTAGAGGACGGAGATTCAGCTAGAGGCGGACAAGTGAAGAAAAGAGCCAACTTCATTAAATAAAGGAAACCTGGCTGTATATATAATGACTAAATATGGCCACATAAAACTTGGTATAAGGGAAGGGCTGGAAGAAAAACATCACAAAATGCAAAAGAGTTGAACATTTTCATAATTAAGTTGATGATGAATCTAAAACAGATCAAACACTTAAAAAATGGAAACTGTTAATGCTTCAACACAGTTAAAGATGTCCTGAGTATAAAGTCTTCAGACAGAGAAGGAAGTCCTAATGACGTTAACCTGCTCTTTATTTTACATAAGGACATCATTTCTGAAAATACAACTTTGCCATTGATTAAACTTTTCTTGTTAGTAATGTATGCTTTAAGAAACTGAAATAGGGTTTAAAGGGAAATATTTTGTGGCCATAAATTCACAGCTGAAATTAGACTAATTTTAGACCCGTCTCTGGGAGAAACTTTGGGCTTTGAGAAAGTTGGTGGGAATCTGAAAGCTCCTGCCTGGACATTAAAACACTCGGACTCTGTTTGGGTACCAATACACACAGCAGCTCGATCTCACAA